CAATGTTTCTACATATGTTTCTCTATGTTTGCGATAATACGATGCAGAAATACTGTTCAAACATTTTCTGAATCTGCAGAGTATGCCCTATCAATTCCATCTTATCAGGAGATTGTACATAACTCACATCTGGACTTATGAGGCGATGAAGAGGGGTTAAGAAATGCGTCATCTGCCTCTCACCATGTGTAATTGGTGGATTTGTGTGCCCGTCTACGTTTTGTGTGAAACTGACCAACGGACACTCAGGAGATCACTAAGGACTTACGCATCACATTAGAAACCCTTAATTCTTTATTCACTTTATGTCAAAGACACGTGTGAAATGATGTGAAAAGAGTTTACAGCCATTGACGTTGCTACAGTGGTGTTGGAAAGTAGCACGAAGATAACTGAGCATTTTAGCATGAAACATATACATATCTTATTATAAGCAAGTGCCTTTAAAGGCCAGTGTAAGAAGATATGCAAGAGTCGAGAAATGCCCTTAGACCCCAGAGGGTTAAAGGTCATAATGTCATCAAAAGACTCTTCACAATGGATTGACAAATCTTACCTCTTCAGTGGTGCAACTTACTTACCTAAAAGGCTCTTGGATTCTCTCGCAGAGACTTGCGATGATACTTCAACATTTAAATGCTTCTCAGGTGGCTAGCACGCTGAGACCTCTTTTTACCCTCTGCCTAGTTCATTTTTTTTTTCAAAGAGTTAAGCAAAACTATATTGTATTTATACATTAATGTTGATAACATGTTTTAATAGTTGTACACCATCATGGCAGCCTATAGATGTAAACACCAGGTTACCAATCACCTGGTTGTGTGAATTATGCCACATATTTCCATTCAGTGAAATACAGTAGGGTCAGCATATGGAGTTTGTTGCAATTGAAGTTATGTTTGGCATATTTTCAGTTTGCAAGCCAAATGATCCCTTGGTTCATTTATGCATGTGTATGTGCAAACAATTGGCAAGACATGCATGCATTTAAGGGTTATGAAAATACAGAGTGTGACTGACGTGTTGTATTTCAGTATATCTTTGTAATGATATAATTATATATAGAGTTTATCAGTACTCAGTATGTCTGTGCAGTGGAAAAAAAACACATGAATTCCGATCTGAGAATTCTCATTAAGGTCGCATGGCCACGAACCAGTGACAAATCCGATCTAGGACCTCATATAAAAGTGGCTCAGGTCGGATTTTAAAAGATCAGATTTGTGTGTCCACACTGCTCTGAAAACATCAGATCTGGGTCATATTAGGGCAAAAAATCTGATGTGTTTGATTAGGGCTGGGGCTAAACTCTACTGGGTGGTAGATCTCCAGGATCAGGATTGGGCTTCCCTGGACTAAAGCCTTATTCGAGCTGGAATAGTTTTCCCAGACGGGATCATATAATGTAATTTGCGCATGAATTGACTGGCTGATTCTCATGGTATAAAGAATCTGTTTAACTTTCCCAAATTACCCCAAATAGCCTGAATCAAAACATTGTTGCACTGACTTTTACCTCAACACTATGCATCAGGCACCACACTCCCTAACAGTAGCAACACATTCTGTGGCTAAATGTCAAATAAGGCACAAAAAAGTGGAACTGAACGAGGAAGCAGACCTTGCATCTCAGTTTGTGGGGTGACGCCTGTTGTATGTGGCAATTCCAAATGATGGTGCATAAGCATATACACTGAATTGTTCTGGATTTCAGTAGTGTTTAAGGAATTACGGAATGGTCAGATCAGGCTCCATTGTAGCTGTTAGCCTTGTCTTTAGGTCACAAAAAAGAAAAAAAGGAAGGGCTAATTTCTGTTATCTGGTTTCATTACTACATTACTGTAATGACTACTATTACTGAGGAAGCTCTGAGTTCTGCAAATTATAGAAGGCAGTTCGCCGTAGAATTAGTAGTTATCAGACTTGCAAAAACTACAGACATTGCAGATTCCCACTGGATTAAAATCACGGATCTCGTCGGAAATCACTTCAATTACAGCACCTCACCAGATTAATCTAGTCCAGCTAAATAGGCTTAAAATGTAACTCAGTGAAAAGTGGATTCCATTCCTCACTAATATACTTGAGTAGAAGTGAATGTTTTTTCATCTTAAAGGTATAAATTTGTCAAACTTTTACTTGAGTACATGAAACTAAATCTGTATCTGTGCGTGCTCCTCATAGTGGCAGCACTATGCCTGATATCACATGGTTTAGGTGTGAGACTCAAGTGAGATTTCACTCATAATCACAGGCAAACTGTGGTGTCTGAGAAAAGGCTGCCGCAGCAGATCCAAAGCTTTAATTACTGAAACATACCTTTGGGTATTATGTTTAATACATCACAAACAAAACATGATTTGCATAAACTGTGCAATCACTTATGTCATTGTTGTATTCTGATCTCATTTTGGCAGATTTACCTGTCAAACACAAAAGCGACTGTGCTATGCAGCGTGCCAGTAAGACCATTTATAAGGCTTATTCAGGTTCAATTTCATCCAGACTAAAACGATTCAGACTGAGCTGAGCTGCGTGAGACATAATTGTAGAGACTGAATGTCTTTGAAATAAGAGGTTCACTGTAATATTGATTTTTGTCTTTACTGTACAGTGCTGTCCACCTACAAAGCTGTCCATAAAGGATAAAATCATATTACAAACACTGCCTCGCCTGCACGACACAGAGCCAGTGTGTGAGATGTGTGGCAGATTTGTCCTTGTAAAGTGTTTATTTTACTTACACTTCACTTGTCATGGTTTGTCGGGACACAGGTGTTTTTTCTGCTCCATTAAAAGCATTGAATTCTCAGGAGAAACATCCCCGAGGCCACACACACACAGTGACACCACCTCTTTAAGAGAAAGAAGAGAACAGACAGTGAAACAAGAAAATTACTTAAATTTAAAAAAATAATATATGTGTAGACTAGGCTCGGCTCACTGACACAAGCTCATTTTTAGAACTTAAAGCTATTAAAAACACCAAGCCAGGGCACTTTTGGTTTGAAACTGCATAATCATTAGGAAGATATATGGAGTTTATTATAATGTACAGGATCAATATTTAGAACCCTCCCAAGATATAGTGTACAATTTGCATCAGGTCTCTTTCAGAATCTTTAAACCTAATTAAAGCTGCACTATGTGAGATATGGTGTACATAATGATGTCTATGCACTGCTGTGAGTCACCCTATAAAGCCTGAAATGAAAAATTTAAAAATCATGGGCATGATGTATAAACACCAAACGCACAGACTGAAAAAGAAGATCCAGCTTGATGTTTAGGTCTAAAATGCAAAATCACCATTATACTGATGAAAACATGATGACAATAGTAGATAATTCACTTGCATCCCCAGAAGGCATGTACTTTACCAGGTTTTGACAGAGTTCTCTTTGAATACTCTCAAGACCCTCATGTCAGTATTATAAAATATTCTTCTACATGCTGCTTGCAATTACACATTTACACCAGAGAGGTCTCCAGTCCCCCAAAACCCAAAACGTGCAGCTTTAAATAACCGTTAGAAATCACCATGTAACTACCTAAAGGTGCCATATAATAGAAAAACACATTTCTTTTGATGTACTATGTAAACTATAAATTTATTTTTCAAAATGTACCATACACTCCCCAGTTCAGTCAGTTCATATATGGGAACTAAGCTGCAGTAGCATCCTATGTTAAATCGTGATGTCAGACTGTCCATTCAGCCTACAGCAATTTAGTGCCCCATATACACATATATTTAAGTCACAAAGAGTGTTGTTACTGCAGAGTTAACTGAGTGGAAGATGTGGGAAAAACAATTAAACGTGTTGTTGCTGTATCAAATATATCATTGCAACCATTTAAATGATCCAGGCATCCAAAAGGAGTGGCTGAAGTAATTTTTTTCTGACATCCCAAAGATTTCAATCCAAACTGTTTATTCTTTAAATATTTCATATCATGAAAAATGACTTGATTTTTGTTTCTAATTAGAAAGTTTGATGTAGTTTGATATAACATTGTTTCAAGACACACCATTCCCTTCCCAGTCTATACAGCCCATATGTAAAAACTGGGTTTTTGAGTTGTTGTTTTTGTGATGTAATGAAATTCAGGGCATTTACATATATGCATTTACATATATTCACCTTTTTAGCCTTCAGCAGTTTGGCTCTGTCCCGTCATGCTGTAGGGCTGCTTTTTGAATATGGGACAATACAGGGCAGTCAATCAAAACAGAGCCCAATTATATATATTAGTCTTAAAGTCAGAACAACAAAAACACTCTGTTTACTTCTAAGGGATAAACAGAGGAGAGGTTGGAAATGGGCAGGTAAACACGCTACATAAACCCCACACAAACCTTACAAGACTTGAGGTAGAAATAAATGTAAAATATGGCCCTTTAAATTTAAAAGCTGGTTGTTCACAGTCAAAGCTACCATTAAGGACAGAACAGTTTTGCGCAAAAGTTTCCAGGTACATGGTGTGTGTTGTATTTGTTGACAGGTATGAAGGCTGGTTGAAATGTAGATTGAGTGGCTTCTTTGTTTAGCTTTTAGGTTCAATTTGAGGCCTTACGTAATAGTCAAACTCCTGTCCCACGGGGTAGCAGCTCAGCTCTGAAGTGACTGACTTTCTGGACGTGCTGTACATCTTTGTCTCACTAGCTGAGATAAAGTCAGCTGATGACAGCCCCCCCGTCGTCTGCGTCACTGTGACGCCCATGCATAGAGCGGCACATCAGCGGGCAGAGTAAAACTAAGGATGATGTGTGTGAATAGAGAGTTAGAGAGCATTTAAAGAGAGCCCTTTTTGAAGATATTGCTGCTTAAAGCTTTGAGAAATGTTCCGTGTTGCTGTGTGCTGTGGGTAGGCCATGTAAACCATATAAGTCCACACCATTTCATAAGCTTTACTGAACACCCTTAGGACCATTAATATATTGGAATATCTAACCGTTTTTGTCCTGACACAAGTCATTGTTGATTTCACTGTTGTAGGGGAAAGACTCTAGGGCTGCAGATAAGACCGTTGCCATGGTCCTGAAGGAGATACCCAATAAGGCGTCCTCAGAAGGCAAGCCCCTCCTCACGGTGACAAACAAGGTGGGCAGAACTATTGCAGCTACCCCAAGAGTCAAAGGCCTCCTCCATTCTGACCGGGCTTGACCAATGGCAAGGCTTTGACCATCCCATTTCTAACCTCTTAAGCTTTAAACCAACTCATAGTATCTGTCTGCCATCAAAAACTCACCACTGACCAACTCCCACATGCTGTTTTTTATTTCATTCCGAGCTGCTCTATGGGGTTTAAAACAGAGCCGATTAGCATATTTACTCTCATAGGTTTATATGGTTTTAGTTGCAGCAGTGGGACGGAGAGGACCATGTTACCTACACTCTTAAAAATAAAGGGTTCTTTGGGGGGGATGCCACAGAGGAACCGTTTTTGGACCCCATAAAGAACTTTTCAATGGATGGTTCTTTACACAACCATTGTTGTAAATAAGAACCTCCACATACTGTAGAGGTTCTACACCAGTTAAAGGAACTTCTAAGACAAGAACCATTTAGGAACCTTGATTTTTCAGAGTGTGGATAGATATTATTTGTATCTCAGCTCACTTCTAGCAAGCGCACTTAGAGCATTCTTATGCAAGCAGGCTCACGCAGTTATATTCTCGTTCCATAAGATAATCTGAGATATGAAAGGAATTTCTTCAAATGCATTTCACTATTTCAGCTTACAGGGATATAATTCACAGCATATACGACTCCGCAGCCTCAAGTAATGGATTTTTTACACCTCATAAGCAGCTAACCTTGGTCTCTGTTTCATTTATAATTTTATATGTAACAGCATGAAATTCTTTTCAAACTAAAATTCTTTTGATGTCTCAGTGGCCTCTCTTGTATATATCTTTTATGTATGTATGTGTGCTAAAGGAGTTGCTTTGCTTCTTTCTGGCTGGTGTGGATCTAGTTAATGCCATTCTTATCTTCTTTGCCTGTTTCCTGTGTATTCCAGTTGTTTGCTTTGTGATATGCTTTAAAATATGTGTATGCATGCAAAATATGGATCTGCCTGTTTGTGCCTGCAAAGCTCTCGTAGGTGTGAAATACATGTGTTCTATTTACGTGAAGTAATAATGCATGTTCTGCTTTGATGTTTAATTAGGAGTAGTGCAATATTAATGATCTATATTAAGTAGCTGTTTTAACTTGTGCATATTGCATGTTTCACTGAGTCAAACCTCTTCTCCCTTGCCTAGTGACTGAATGAGATCATTTGTTTAGTAGAGAAATATCTTGGCTTTATCTTTAGGCTGTGTTTTGTGTGATTGCACATGAACATAATCACACATTTTGTCTGTTCCTGGATCAGGTGAAATCCTGATTGAATTTCATCAGGAAATTAATTGAATTGGATTACTTCAGGAAATAAAGCAGACTCTGGCATGCAGCACAGTTCCTCTTTGGGTAATTCTGGTAATATGCTACTCAATATCGCTGTCATAAGAGCTTAATCAGGTCAATATTGTCATGTTTATAACATTTAAAGCTTATTTGATTGCTGTTTAGGCAGTATTTTTCAGTCTGCTGCTGGAATTGGGAGGGAATAGTAATAGTGACAACATCATTTCACTTTAGTCAAGCAAAACTGAACGGTTGGTAAACCATTTTTACATGTGGTACTGTCCAAATTAAAAGCCCACCCTTCATTTATTTAATTTCCCTGTCAATGCTGTCATTAAGTGCAAGTTATTTTTTCTTAAGTGTCAGGAAAAAAGCTGAAGTCATATATTTAACAATAAACAGAGTGTGTCCATTCTTTGCCTTTATTACAGCTTCCATTCTTTTCAGAAGACTTGCTTTCAGTTTTTCATGAAATCTGCAGAGAATTTTTTTCACCTCAAAAGTTTAGTCTCAGAAGTTGCTTACATTTAACACTTCTCACAATCAAAGTAATCTCACATCAGTTGATATTGAGGACTTTGGGGTGGTCAGCTGGGATGAGAACACCAGCAGCTTATTAGTTTGATTGGCAATTTTTTCCTTTTTTTTGTCTATTTCCTTTTCTCAGTAACAGCTTCTCGACAGGCTACAAATCCTTTCAGACTCAGAGTGCTGAAGTATCTTCTCACAGTGGAAGGCTGGACGGAAACACCTGTGGATTTTTTCAGATCTGAAGCAAGAGTGGAGATTCATTTTCTCCTCTCTCTCAAAGATGAAAGCTTTAAGCATTGTATATCTGATAGTGACAGTTTTGGTGGTCTACCAGGGCTTGCATGGTTCTCTACATCTTAATCATTATAATAATTTTTTGAACTCCAGTTTTTGAAACTCCTGTTTTTTTTTGACTTTCCCCTTCTTTATGCAAGTAGATTATCATAAATCTAATTTCTTCAGAAATACCTCCTGAAAAATGAAGAACTTAAAAGTGAAGTACTTAACATCTGTTTTGACTGGAAATTAAATAAATGAAGGGTGATCTTTGACTGTTGCATAGTACTGTAGCGTAGTAAAAAAATCAATGTAGACCATTAGTACAGGTTTACAAGTAGGAACTGTTGCTTCTTTTCCTCAAAGATGGTGAGATTGGACTTGAAGGTGAATTCCACTGAATTTTCAACATTACTGCATAGTTCTGACGTTGAGATGCAAACAAAGTCATTAAGAGTTGTTTGATATGAAATGGTGCAGAAGCTGTAATCCATTTTATTTACTATCCAAAATGACCAGTGAACCTACTCAGGTTTTTATATATAATATTAATAATGGTAAAATGTTTTAAAAATGTTAAAAAGCTCTCCACAATGAGTTAATTTAAGAAAATAAATTTTAGGCCAAAAACAATGTCTCTGGTGCCAGGCAACATATTCTTAACTATTTTGTGTAAAAAGAAAATGAGAAGTAGCTTTTAGAGGCACTGGACTCTTCGTACACCTGGTTCCTATCACCACCACTGGAAACAGTTCTGATTTGGTAAATTTCTCTAGAATAAAGCATTTCACATCAAACCACTCTGAATGCCTTTGTCTACATCTTAATGATTTTATCATGCAGACATTTTGAAAAATCAGTGGAATTCCCCTTTAATTTTATTGCCCAGCTATGAGCAAAGATCACATGGCAGATTTTCTCTGAGGGGCAGGAGGAAAGAAGGAGAGAAGAAGAAGTTGTGACCTCTGAAAAGGGCTCATAGGGTAAAACCATTTTACGTTGATCACGGACCCAATTTATGTCTCAACATAAGAACTGATTACCTGTTATGAAAGTCACTACTGCAATACAGTATTTGTGCATGACGATGATAAAGTCACGCAGTTATCTGAAGCACTGTAATAATTGGCTCGTGAACCTCTCACATGTGCTGTCTCCCTGGCTCGGCCCCTAAAGACTCCTGCCAGCTTAACTGCTTCTGGTTTCCCTTGACAACAATATCTAAGGGTTTGCACCAGGAGTCGCACCCAAGCGGTGCAATTAGCTGAAGTTTTCCATTACATAATTCTGGATTTGCCCTCCGGCTCTCATAAACAAAGGAACGGGGCACGTTGCAGGGAATCGAAGCAAAAAGGTACAAAACGATCTCGATATTTGGCCTGGGGGCGACAAGAGAACAGAGGCTCAACCTCAGCTCAGGAAAATCCATCTAGAATAAGGACATGTTCCTGTAATTGCTGTGAGAACTGCAGCTAACATTATTCATGTGATGTTGTCGTGCAACATAGAAAATTGAATGGCTTTTCTTTCGCAGCTAGCATTTGCGGTGTGTGGAAAGGGTAAGCAGCATCATTATTTACACAAGGCCCACAAGGCAGTTACTGTAAGAGCTTTGAAGAGCCGTGTCAGGGCAGGACATCAAAAGCACACTTCTGCTCGAAATCCCAGAAGAGAAGATTTTATACTACACTAATGGGCCCATCCTAATTAAATGCTAAAGTAGATGACCTTGACACCTAAACCTTGGCTGAATATCATGCATTTCAATTTGTGAATCTTTTTAGTGATGGTTCAAATGTGTAACCGCACATCATTTTCATTACATAGTGCACTTTGGGAATGAAGTTGTAATCGCTTAGCTTATTAACTTGATTTTAATTCCTTTACATCATTTAGAGAATTAGAATTGCTGATTTATTCTAGGGTATGTAATCATTTCTATTGAGCAGTGACTAGAAGGGGACAAAAAATAATATCGCAATACTTGAAGACCTTTTGATGATGCACAGTACATATTACAGCATTTGTAAACACTTTGTTGGAAGGCTAGCTACATGAGTCTTCATAACACATGCGTAAGCATGTTTAAAATATCTAAAAAGTAATATTTGTGTATTCATGAACAGGTTATGCTCGTAATCGCAAGATGACATTGTGTTGACATGAGGGACATGATGTGATGGGCGTGTGTTCCATTTATGACACTCTTATGATGCATCATTCCCAAGTAATAAAACATATAAGGCAGAGGCCTGGTTAAAGGGGAATTCCATCGATTTTTCAAAATTTCTGCCTAATTCAGTCATTTGGTATAAACAAGGTCATGCAGAGTGAAGTGATATAAAATGTGCCACTCAGTGGTGAGAGGAACCAGACAGTAACCAGAAAGGTATTTAACTAAATGGTTACAAATATGCTGCCTGATGCCTGAGATTTTGTTTTATGATAGACTTAACTTCACGTCCTCAAACCTATTTTTAAAATCCAGATAAGTTCTTGCAAAGTGTTGCAAGGCAAAATAGTCCCCAATTTTTTTTTTTATTTTCTTTGGATTTGCCACTATTTTATCATGATCAACATTACATATAAAAACTCTGGATACAAAAGTTCCCTGGCTGTTTTTGGACAGCGAATGAAATGACTAGACATCATACCCCTGGTTCCCATCACCACCACTGTAAAGAAAGTCAGTGTCGGTATGTTTTTCTACAGTAAAGCATTTCACATCAAAAAACTCTGAATGACTTTGTTCACATCTCAACCACTGAATTACACATACATTTTGAAAAATTGGTGGAATTCCCCTTTAAGAATTTTAATTAAAATCGTTCTTTTACTTGGGAATGATGCTTCATAACAGTCTCACAAATGGAAGAAAAGTCTACCTATTTAGTTTAAGAGCCCTTAGACAGTACAATGCCAATTTCTTCATAGAATATCTTGTGTCATCTCGCGAACACTAGTGTAAGCTGTTCATAAATACTGAAGTATTGCTTTTTAAAGACTTAATTCCATGCTTATGCATGTCTCATGACGTCCCTGTGTATGTAGCCTTGAAATAAAGAGTTACCCAAAATTTCATCTACTCAGGTTTGAAAACTTTGATTACAGTTATCTTTGTTTAGAACCCACGAATTGTGACAAAAAAAACATTATGATGTAATTTATCATGGCATGAGATGCCTATTTTTTTCCAATACCAGTACCAACCTTATCAGCTGATACAGCTCTGATGTTTTTTCATTGAAATCTACTAAGCTTGATGAGCTGTTTTTAATGTTTCACTTAAGATGAGCATTCTGATTTGTTACAATTGGATCGGATTCATTCTTTTGATAACACTTTATTTGAAGGCTACCTACATAGGAACTACATATGCACACACATGCATAAGCACTAAAAAGCATATTTATGAAGTAATATTTGAGAATCTCTATAAAGTAAATGGCATTGCATTGACATAAGGGGTCCTAAAGGAAAGTGATAGACATTTGTTTCGTATACAACACTGTTATCATTCCAAATAATGGAACTTAGAAGGAAGTAAGTCTAGTCTAATTTAGGTGTTTATGTCAGTACAGGGTCATGTTCTTCAGCTTATGGCATCTAGCAACTACTGGCATAAGTTGTCCAGAAATACTAAAGTAATTAAGTGATTCTTTAGAAATATGATATTTAATGCTTATGCAAGTGTTACGGCATCCTTATGTAATAGCCTTCAAATAAAGTGCTACCTTTTTTTCATTTTGTTGATATCAGCCCAATAACAATACTCACTGACGTTAATATGCCATCTCTAATGATATTGTGCCACCATATCACTCACCTCTAGAGCTGACCTGTCCCAAATCACTGTTTTAGTTATTTTGAAAAATGAGCTCTGCTCTCTGCTCCACTCAAGAATGCACAAGTGCGCAAATCTTCACTCTGTAGATGAACTGCAAACCACTTGTGCACCCTGCAGATTATACTTCCCACCTGGCGATACAATGAGCCACAAGCAAATAACAGTATTTTGCCAAGATGTTCTTACCATGAATAATTCAGACTGAGCTGAGACTGTAGCTGTTTGTTCCTCTGTGTCCTCAGCATTAACGGTACTAGGCTGCAATGTGTCTGGGAGTCATTTCAGTTTAATTACGAGCATGGGGTCTGTCCCCTTAATAATTCCCATTAATGTCAGCAGTCCTTTTATATTTGTGCCAAAAGTGCAGAATGGTTTTAATTGAATACAGGGGGAAATGATCTAATTAAGTGGCAGGGGCCTAAAAGACTTTCTTTTTCTTTTTCATTAAGGTCTATATTTCACTTGCAATTATAGAGGAGGAAGCTATGTTCTATTTTAATGAGACTGGCAGACTCAGAGTAAAAGTGGAGTCCACTGGCAGTAGCCTTCTAACATCCCCATATAAAGCATCTAGACTGATGCTGCTACAGTCCTGTTTCCCTGCCATTACGTAACATAGCCTGGTACATCAAAATGCTTCCACATGAACAGATCCATCCAGTAAAAGAGTTTGGCATTTGGGCAGATCTTCCTTCCACACACCTTGCATAATTTGTTTGGAGACCAATAGCCCTTAAAAGAGAAAAAGCTTGTTTATGAAAATACCTCTTTTCCTTCTTCTCCAAGATGTTGTAGCAGCAGGAGTTCAGCTCAGGTAACATCAGGCATTCCGCTCAGCAAAGAGCTAAATCTACCTCCTGACACCAGCGCAGCCCCAGTCACTCCTGCAACCCAATTAACTCTGCTGGGTCATCATTCTGGAGGAACCACAATAGCCAAGTTCCTCCAGCTTTCCACACTTTGCGTCCGTTCCTCAGAATAGAGGGCACAAACCTATTTATCTTTTCATTTGAAAGGACTTTGAAAGGAGATTGGAGTCAAAATATATGGCTCGCCATATAATGAAGTCAGCTTTGACAACTTTATTTATGATCAGTTCAGAATGACTCTGAATAAATTTCAGAATCTCAAATCTCCAGAGTTCTCCAATTAAGTAGCTCCTGAAAGGATCTGCTTCTTTTGTCTTAAAAATGAAGGTCTCAGAAAAGATTCTTTGATGGCATAGAAGAACCAATTTTGGTTCATCAAGGGAATATTTCAAACAATGGTTCTTTAAGTAGCTGTTATTGTAAATGAGATATTAGTACAACCATGTAGTTATTGAAGAATAAGCCCAAAAATTGACATAAAATTGGGATTTTAAGGTGTTAAGGTGTTAAGGTGTTAACAAACCTCCACATGATCTAAAGGTTCAAATGTTTTTTTCATCAAACCATACATCCAAGCAAAAAACCATTTAGGAACCTTTATTTTTAAGAACACTGATTTAGCTCATGTTTATTTGAGAAAGGAAGAAGATAAATAGCACAGCAGTCTGTTGATATAGGCACTATCAACATTCAATGTTAAACCTTACTTTCACACCATGTTGTGATCTAAAGTCACATTTGAGTTTTTGCCTATCCAACATACTGATTACAGTGCTACCTACAAACGTATCTGACTGGAGGTGGACACTGAATGTCAAGAGAACAGTTAGCTTACTTCCTTCAGCTTTGTACACTTTATGCCTGCTCCACATAAATATTCCTTTTGGGTCGTAAACTAAACTTTGTGTCAGAATAGAAGGTGCAATCCCACTCATCTTTTTTAGTGGTGCACCAACATGAAAATCCTTTGGCCGAAACCAAAACCGAAATTCAGGACACACTGGCCCAAAAACCAAAATCTTAAATAAATCTAACAGTAAATGAAGACTTTAAATAAACGTATTAAAATTGATATGTGGCTATAAAACCCTACATTGTTGATAACAGAATGGTTTGTCATTCTGTTTTTTGTAAAGTTTTTTTTTGTTATTTTGAAAACTGAGGCTACAGATGGTCTTGGCGTGCTCACGGGGACCTCCTGCTTTGCTTTTGTTGTTTTGCTGTACTCTGTGTATTGAGCAGGATGCCATTTTTAAAGCAATTTCAATCTTGTAATTCTTGAGTCTTGAACCCCCCTCTAGTGTTTTTGATCACTATTTCTTATTCACTATTTAAAATTATTTGTGAAGTCTTTTGACACTTCATTGTTGGCCTGTTTAATGTTTATTTTTTCTTTTACAATTTTTGGCTTTTTTTCCTTTCAGACAAAAACAGAAAGTGCCATCTTTGCCCAAAAAATCTTGACAGCAGAAATTTTGGTATATGCCTGGCCATTTTATATCAGACTTTGAAAGAAGGCTAGCTTCAAAATATATGGCCCAAACACATGAACGGCAGGTCTGATGACTTCAGTTTTAACCTTCAGAAATCGGATTCAGTTCAAAATTCATAATCTGCAAAGGTCTCCACAAAGCCTTGGTTTAGTTATTATATGCTATTTTAGAAAGAAAATAACAGCACTCTGTTTATATAGGCAGTAGGAAACACTGACATAAGCATGCCATAAACATGTCAGGGCAGATGTAATATGCTGTCATGACAGATTATGTCCAGTAATATAACAGTGTTATGTTATCTTACTGTGAGTTGTAATGACATCAGCTGTCATTAGATCAAACCCTATTGCATTTGTCACATGATCATTTTTGCTGTGTACTCCAGTTAGCCTTCATGACATCAAACATTATTATATCTATCGTGACAAATTATGGTAATGGTAACACAACACTGTTATATTACTGAATATAATCTGTCATGACAACTCGACAGCACATGAGATGGTTTTGACATGTCACTGCTACACAGCAGGGTTCAAGTAAGGTGTTATATAGGCAGTATAACAGCTACACTGGTAATGAATGTGCTTGTGTAAATTATTGCCTATCCAGCAGCATACTGATTAACAAATTTAGATAATAAATAAATTTAGTTTTATTAGTATTATCTGTACAGTGGACACTAAAAGTTGAAGGCACTGTGTGACTTATTTGCAGCATTACACAAGCGCAGCAAAAATCCATTCTGCTGGATTTTCTAATTATAAAGATCTACAGGGGGACAGGACAGAAAAAGACATGTATGAAAAAAGGCCAACGATTTAGCATCAGAGAGGAATCGTTCTCTCCAACTTTAAGACTCCAGATAAACAATCTCTGATGGAGAGGCAATTACAGTTGAGGAAGCACCCGCGCTGCACGCATGCAGTGAGCACACAAAGTGCTTTCCCCGCTTTAGTCTAGCACGGCTGAATGAGCACCATGAGAGCTGGATGATGATTGATGTGTTTTCTCAATTCTGCGCCACCAGTCTCCCCGAAGGACAAGTGCACTCTCTGATGTACAGACACACGTGTAAAATCAGGGATTAGGGAAATGCGGGGGGGCCCGTATCAGGTCAGGAATTGAATTTCATCTTAATTACACACGCATTACACGTGTGCACTGAAACGGCAAAGCTATCATAGCCGCGCCGTTTCATTTTCCCTCTGTCAAAGTTAAAAAAGAGAATAATCTGATAGGATTGTCACAGCTTTGCCTCAAAGGTACGCTGACAAAAAAGTACCTTCAAGTGAAGGCTGATTTCGCGACACTAGATTGAAAAAACACGCTGGATACTGTGGCATTAAAACCACCGTGTTTTGCCTTCAACAAAACAAAAAGGAGATCAAGGAGTGCCTTTAGGCTAGAGACGCGCCAGCCGTGCGGGGCCAGGGGGTGAGAATGGGAGTTGTATTTCTGTAAATAGACCAGAGCCAGCCTGGGAATCATCAGCGACAAATCAAAGGCAAGCCTGTCATTGCACTAAGGGTCCAGTTTGCCTCCACACACGATGTGGGCGGACAGGACGGCAGATGCGTTTACCTACTTCTCAGTGGAATATTTCGCTTGGTTTTGCAGCTGGTGAGCGAGCAACAAGAGAGTCGTCCTTTGTTGAGCCCCTCCATCGACGACTTCCTGTGTGAGACCAAGTGCGATGGAGCTGTCCGTCCAGTTACCTCCAACACAGCAGGTAATAGAAATGCTGACCTCCCTCACCTAACCTAAGTGTCCAACACCACACCAGGGTCAACGTGGTCACTGAAAGCCAAGAACCACTTATCCTTTTTTTTACCATTCTAGGTTCCCTATTGTGCATACGTCTTGATTTGTAGCTCATTTAAAGGTTAATAGTTTGACATAGTTTGTAAACAATGTAAAAGTTTCAAAATATGCTCAGACCAGAGGCGCTCAATCCTGGAGAGTTTTGCTGCAACTGTAATATATCACCCCCAATCCAGATGATGAAGGCCATCAGGGGCATCTGAATTTTAGAGCCAGGAGTGTTAGATCTGAGCTCTTTAGGGTGGTAGATCTTTTTTTCATCCAAAACAAATGGAAATCAAATGGAAAACCTGTTGATACAAGCTCACATATTAAAATGTAAATGTTAATTACTCTGTAAGTATTAATTGATGTAATTATATATCAATTTATTAAATAATATAACTACATAGAAATAATTCTATGATCAGATTTATAACAAAATGGAAATAATAAATCCTTTATACATCTAAGCGTTTTTGGGTAGATGTGGATTCTTCTCTTCTCCTTATGGCATGTGGTATTGGTAAGAGTTTTCTATGCAAATTTCCACACAGACAGATGTTTTCATACCGCACTACTGATTAGTACTGAGTAATTAAAGTGGTCAAATATATGACTAGCACAAGTGACAGAGCATTACTAGGAATCTGAGAGCTCTTTAAGAACAGACTCATTATTTCAAGCACACAATAAGACACTGAAGAACTAAAGCTGTCTTTATTGCGTGTGCATTCTGGCTTCCCCCATACACAAACCACTCTGTACCCACGCTTGGAGAGCGTTTCTGTTAGTCTCTAATTGTGTATACTGTTTGGAGAGTGCTTAAATATCAGAGTTCTAATTACCTACAGATTACATTTGGAAGATCCTTCAGTCTGTTTGTAATAAAACAGCCGCCTGCTAATTACTATGAGATATCTCTGAACCGGAGGCTTAGTGGGGTTCAGAAATGACTGGGTGGCACTCAAACAAAAGGTTTTTAGTGTCACTAAGCTTCCCCTAAAGAAAATGAGACACTTTCACTTGTTACACAAATAATGAAATGAGGAGTTGGTTATTGATTTGTGCACCGTTGAGCTTACTGAGCTGTTCTTCACATTCAATACAAATTGTCTGCAAGTTGTGGTTTCAGCGCTGAGTTTCAATAATAAAAAAGTGCCTGTCTGGATATGCTCTGTGGCTGATTTTCCTTACTGTGACTTCAGTAGCCCCCCCCCCAGCAGTATTGCTGCAGGGGGTTAAACTGTGATTACCCTCTTGAAGGAGACTAACCAAGACAAAAAAGCAGTTTCTACAAACTGAACTGTCTGGTCACATTGGGTTAATCATGAAAAATCACACACATACCCATTCTATTTCATCTTCATTAACAATTAATGTTCCTAGTCTCAAGTGTCCTCTGCGTATTATTACAGACAGAGCTGTCAAAGCAATTCCATGTCATTTTAAGTAAGCATTGCAGATGGAGGGTGATGTTACACGGGATTGCTTTTCTGGGATCTACTCTTCTGGGAAGTTTTTAGGCTGACTGGTATGCATTTTGAGTAAGTGGCACTCTGTAAGATCTAGTCCAGTCTCAGGCACATGCACTGGACACTGTAAGTGATGCGAGGTCAGGACTATAGTACTTTTGGTATTGTTGTCCTGCTCATTTGATTGCACCTTGCTCAGTAATGTGCCTGCTGGTTCTGGAGGTTTTCGAAAATAAGTGCTATCCTGGGTGGAAGTGGTTGCAATTAGCATACAGTACTTAAGCAGACATCAATTAATAGAATGCTGTAGTTTGCTGTATGCCCAGGAACCTCCTTGTCTTGTAAGCCAGACTTCTGCCAATTGTAAGAGAGTCTGATGTGTTTTGTTGCTTAACATGGCCAAGAACTGTGTATTTGACAGGTAATTTGACTGACATGCAACCAACCACAAGCCATTGTTTGGTGTGTAGGGACAAGCAGTTTTTAATACTGGGCACCACTGGGAACAAATACATGCGTATCTTGGCTGTCCAAAAAAAAAAAATTATCCCCAAAATGGCAACTTTACAGAAGATGGCAAAAATGTTCTTTACTCTAAATGTAAGTCAATATAAAGACACTTCATTGCAAGATATTTTGTAACTTTTCTATAGGTACATCCCTTATGAAATTTCCACACTATGTAAAAGGCAGCTGCTGTGTTCAAATTAAGAACAAAATTGAAATTCGAAAAAAAGATGGAGATGCTTCCTTTTTTTTTTTGAACAGCGATGATACATACAGTACATCTGCATGGAACAAATTGGCATGCATGGAATCTCTCTTTTACTAGCTACTAGGGCTGGCTCAAACAGCATTTTACAGGCTGTCAAATGCTCATAACTATTTCTGAAGTGCTCAAATATCTGTTCTCAAAATCAACCGTATGTAATACAGTAATACCTAAACTGTTTTTAGCCTTCTGTCTGACAGAACAGATACACTTCCATGTCACTTCAGTGCTTCAGTACATGCTGGCTATCAAAACACAAGGCATTTTTTTTTCACTTGCGCATGCAAATCACACACTACCACTTTCTGTATTTCAATTAATAATTTACTACAGTGTGATGATCTTGTAGGTGTGGTAGTTTCAGAACAGCTCGTCATTGTACCAACAGTGCGTAGAAGAAGCTACTCTTCTCTGACACAGCGGTAAAAACTTGTGATTATGATTTTGTCACAACAGATCTGCTGTATTTGCTGTCAAGTTTTAACCCTGTTATATAATTGATTAATAAAAAAGGGGAAAAAAGAAATAATATTCCCACCTGAAGTGGTTACATGATGAAGCGGAGGAGTCGGAGGCAGTGCAAATTGAACACATGGCAGTACTTGTATAAAGATCACTATACTTACCCATTTGAGATGATTCATCAAACTTGTGGTCCCTCCATAGTATACAAGCCTCTTATCACACATTTTGCACTAAGCATTTTTATTTTAGTTTCCTGCTCTTATAGCCACGTGGAAAGAAGTGCAGATTTGTTGCACTCTTAGGAGAGGTGACATGGATGCCAGGAATAAATTTATTATGTATTATAAACGAAACCAGCCATATTTTATATATATTTTTAACATTTTCCATAGATTATCACTGTTCATTAATTTATTATAGGCTTGTTATTTTAGGCTGATTATTTACAAACAGACAAAGCATCTGAAAACTAAATAGAGAAATGAATACCAACGTAACATATGAGTTGAAAAGTGAAAATTCATGGCACTCTTCATTAGGTTAAAAAGCTTTATTATAATATGGCTATGAACAAAAAATCTCTCAACGCATTTTGGCGTGAGCCTTCATCAGAGAGAGTCACAGTGGCTCTGTGGGAGAGTCACAATGTCATAATAAAGGCTTTCTAACTCAATGAGAGTCCCATGGATTTTCTCTTTTTTCTCAAGTTTTGAACCCCTGGCCTTAGAGCATCTTCAGTATAGAATGTTTATTTCCCTACCGGCAGCACTCTCTATGTTTATATTCTTCTGAACATATCATATGACTACTGGTGTGATCAGATTATTCAGGCCAGCCCTACTAGCTGCTAAATTATTCAAAGAAAACTTTTGAATTACTTCTAAACATGTGATGCTGTGAAATTCACAAACGTTTTTCAATCCAGCGACCATATGTTGATATAACACTCTGTGCAGAGCTTTTAAAGTTTGTTTCCCATTGGTCTGATTAAACCTGGTGCTCAGAGGTGCATGCGGAGAGCCATTCAGGATGCAACTGACAAACCCAGTGGTTATGGTCAGCTTAACAAGCAATATATATTAGATAATCCATGTACATATGTGAGAACTAGGAGTCTCTTGACTCAAACCAGAAAATCCCACAAGATATGATGACATCTTCAAAGGCTTTGTAGAAGCATACCAGAGTGGGCTGGATTAATTTTTTTTTCAGTTATCACAGAAAGTATAGACATTGCTGTTTCTTGTGATAGAGATGATTGTGTCTCAGCCGGACAAGAGATGGACCTCCATATGAAGGATTCAATCTTACTGGTGGTTTTGCCTTTGATTTCTGAGAACAGAGATGCAGAGGAGTGATGGTGAAAGTCTATATGAAATAATAAATCAGTGATGAAGGAGGGACATCATGCATTTTGACAAGTTGGAATACAATTTGAAATAGCCAAGCAATGGGAACAAAACCCTAAGATGTTTGGAAGATTTTGGGAAGTTGACAAAACATTTGGATCAAATCTGTCAATCATAATAGTGATTGGCTGTCAAGTGCTTTTCAAAATCCCTGCAGTTTTCTTGCAGAAAAGCAAGTAAAATCAAAGAAAATGTCGTTTTTAGCCTGTTGGGTGCCAGATCCACCTGCTGTTTTCTGATAGCAGTGCCCACTCATTGGTGAAAGCCCAGAACAACATCAGACAGCACAGAATGTCATGATTTCTTGCTCCTTCCTGTGCTGTCAACAGTGCCATGGTTGAAATGTAACTTCATCAGTGCTGGAGAGAACAAGAAGGGAGCAAAGGTACTAGGTGCTTGTTTTACTCAAAGTAGGTACTTGTTTTATTCAAACTTACTCAAATTAATTTATCAGAGCCTTCTATATATGCATTCTACCTTTTGATGTATCCTTTTGAAAGCTTTGAAATAAAATCCTACCATGATGTTTTGATTGTGATCATATGAACACTTTTCAGCTTTTTTTCCCCTCTGAACTAGCCAGTTCTCAGTGTAGCAGCCAGGCCTGTGCACAGACATTTTAGGGGGCAGGTGCTCAAGGGCGACGTGAATTAACTTCATGAATTAAAATTTAATTTACAGTGTATTACAGCCACTCTTATCAAGAAAGACAGATTAATCATGTTTCAGATAAAATCAAACGTTGTCTGAAGATTTTTTTTCCAAAGGCAACCAAAAAGACTAATGCTACTACCAATGCATGGATTTGAACCCTAGTTTCCCTAGATGCAAAGCCATCACATTACTTGCTAAACTACTTAATTACTACAGATTAAATTAAACTTAAAACACCATTGAAGAGCTCCACAGAGTCCCGTATAAATCCTTGTATTTAAAAATAATGAAACTAGTACACAGTCACTATCACCCCTCATTGTTGACTGTATGTTTAATTGTTGTTCAAAATAACCACATTATGGAATGTGACGCTGGTGGGATTTCCAGCAATGTGGTGTTGCGTGACAAGTTGGAGTTACTGAGGAGAACCACAGGTGGTGGTACTGCACCAAAGGAGTCGCCCAAGCGCAATAAATCCAGAAGAACCCAGTCCGACCCACAAGCTCTCTTCTTGTGGTGAGGCTGAGCCTTATCTCGTTGAAATGGATCTTGAAGAATTGTGGAGGCAATATACAATACAATTATTATACACACCCACCGAAAGGGCACTTGTTCAGGCAGAAGGCAAAGGGGCAGGTGCTCAGGCTCCTCCTGGGGTCTAACTGTGGATGTCCCTGGTAGCAGCAGGTCTGTCCCATCACATTAGAGTAGCACTAATCTGAGAGGGAGAAGACATGCACACTGTTCCTCTATGTGACATTTGGGGTCAAGAGTGGGCTAGGACCCATGCTGATGAACAAATGAGGTCATCCTAAACTTCTGAAAACTCTTTACCATATTTATATCTCCCCATCCAGTCCTGTCCTCTTCATTGGACCTGCTGGACCTGAGTGAGCCTGGGGAGAGGAGGAATAGTAAAGACAGAAAGAGCCCTGTGTCCAGCAAGAACACGCCACACAGAAAGAAACCAGACGAAACAGAGTTGATCCAGGTGGACATTGAACAGAGCACACCCCGCTCACGCACACCTGTGAAAGACTCTCTGGATTCAGGTACACAGACCTACCAGAAAAAGAAAGACCTTTATCACATTTACCCAAAAGACCAGATCATATTTCTTAAGTTTGAATATATTGCCATGACATGTCTTATAACTTTATTTGATTGAATCTTGACAGTAGCTAATCCTTCTCCACTGGAGAAATGGGAGGAACTCAACCTGCATCCAGAGCGAACCGGTAGCAGAAAATGGAAACTGGAGAGAAGACGGTCCTCAAAGAACTCTGGAGAGTTTGTTTGGTAAGCGTTTTCTCTGCCATATGTTCAGCAATGAGACTAAATGTTCACATAAGGATCTTTAATACTTTAACAATCACATCAATGCAAACATTATTTTATTGCTTTTGTCCCTGATGATGCACTCATAGGTCCATTGATGGGAAAATACAAACTGAAACAGCCACCAAGAACTCATTAGAAGTAAATTACAAAGTGGAGACAGAGACGTCCCCTGCCACTCAAGTAAGCTAATTTATGTTCATGTTCATGTTGTCAGTAATGCTTATGCAACGTCATTTACACTCATTACAGTCCTTCACTACCCATATTATAAATTTGTCAATACACAAAGGTGGTAAAATGAGCCAAAACCATTTAAAGTTTTGGAATTGTGACAATGATTAAACATTAAATAAAAAAATAAAAGAAATAGCTACAGTACTATTCCAAAGTCAGAAAACACCTTTGATTTGTTTGATTTCCCATAAAAACAGCCAATAAATACAAGTTATTAATTCACAACATTAAATATACTATAATCAGCTTGCATGAGGAAAGGGAATATCAAAGGAAAATAAGTGAAAAAGTGAGTTTCCAGAACCAGAGTTCATAAAATAATTAAAAGATACAAAAAAGTGAGACTCAAACAACCATGCAAGACCTGGTAGACCACCAAAACTGTCATCAGATAAACAGTACTTAAAGCTTTCATCTTTGAGCGAGAGGAGAAAATCAAGCTCCACTCTTACTTCAGATCTGAAAAAATCCACAGGTGTTTCTGTTCATCCTTCACCTCAATGCTGTGAGTCTAAAAGGATGCGTAGCTATCAAGAAGCTGTTACTGAGAAAAGAAAATAGACAAAAAAGCAGAAAAGTTGAAGCTGCCAGTGTTCTCAGAGATCCACCCCGGACCTCAACATTATTGAATGTGTTTGGATTACTTGGATCATAAGAAACAAAAAATTCAACCAACTTCTAAGACTGAACTCTAAAGTTGTGGCAACATAACAAAACAAAAGCAAATTTCCTAAAAGAATGGAAGCTATAAGAAAGACAAAGTGTGAACACACTAAATACTGAAAAATGCGGTATTATATTTAGTTATTGAGGCTTCTGTGTATTTTTCTTATGCTTATGCTAACTTGTACTTAATGGCCAAGACTGGAAATTAAATAAATGAACAGTGGCCCATGACTTTTGCACAGTACTGTATATGTGTGCAGCTGATTAATTATAAGTTGCACTGACCACCTTTTGTAGTAACTACAGTATTTTAATCCAGTGTTATATTTGCATGCCAAACTGCAGGTCCATCTGAGCTCCACTTGAGCTTTAAATGTTGCATTGTACTGGCAACGCCTGTGACTTTATGTTGTATGTGTCTTTGCTAACCCTTAGAATTCTTTCATTTCAGCTCAACAAGCAGTATGTTAGTGGAAGACATGTAAGACATTTCTATGCTTTTATGTATGACATGCTGAACGGTCTATGCATTTGCACCATGCCAACAGCATCACCACTGAATCTATTTTCTTTTAAGAAAGGCCACATCATAGTGGTTGCAATTTTTTTACGCTGAAACTGTGCCTTTTTGCAGCATGAGGAAATTGGGGATTTTTTCTTTAACTTGTGGTGCTACAGGGTACAAATGTTACACGCTTCTGTCCTCAGTGGAGCATGCAGATCTGCTGGGCTGCTCTTTCTGTTGCTACAGTATCTGCTATTATTAGATTGATAGCCGATGAATTATTCAGCAACCTCTCACTGTGCTTATTACAGTATAAGGTATCAGCTACAGCAGGTAAAGTACACGTCACATTTTCAACTTTGTGTTGAGTAGTAGACTAAGATACCAGGAAAAAAGAGTACGAGGAAAACACTGACAGTTTATGAATTGATCTTAAACTGTACAAGTCAACAGTTATCACTTTGCTAACCTTTAGCAAAGTAATAACTATTAGTCCATTAATGACCTCAGATAGTCTTGATATGCTATGTAATTATAATTACACAATGACGTGAATAATTCCATCCCTAGGTACACACAGAATTACACTTATATTCAGTTTACATTGTGTGTTGACAAATTTTAGTCTGTGTATCTAAACTTTTGTTTCCATTTGTTTCGTTTTCAAGAATGACACATACGGCAAAAAATGGTTAAATATTTATAATAGCGATGGTTTAATTAATCATTATCATGTCAGGCTTTTTTTAGTAAATACAGTATTTTAATCCAGGCTGCAGGTCCTTCTGAGCCCCATTTGATCTTTAAATGTTGCATTGTATTAGCAACACTGGAGTTTTTCTTAGGTAATTAATATGCAGAGTTTTTCTTAACAAATATATTCAGAATACTTTATAAGAGTAGATATTAGATATTACTTCACAATTAAGTTACAAGCTTCTACTTCATAATTAACAAATCATGTACTAACAGTTTATTTATTATTACTTCATAAAGTGATAATGCGCATGTGTTAATATTTGTCTACTTTTTTATAATTAAACAATAATGACCAAATCAGAATTGTTAGGCCACCAAAGGATTTGGTAACTATTAATAAATAGTTAAAATAGGAGATATTTGTCCATAAACAACCTCAATAAACACTCCTATAAACTAGAGTAGGAGATATTAGTCCATAATCACATAATAAACCCTCTAATACATTAGAATATGATATATTAGACCATAATCAATCTTAATAAATGCTCCTGTACACTAGAATAGGAGATATTAGTTCATAATCAATCTTAATGAATGCTCCTGTACACTGGAAGAAAAGATATTAGTCCATAATCAATCTTAACAAACACTCCTATACACTAGAATAGGAGATATTAGTCTATAAATGACCATTATAGGTGTCAATATGCACTAGAGTAGGAGATAGACATCCCCCTATCCATCCAGCCTTGATGGCCCCATTTCTGACAGAAGACCAGACCACTGATAATGATACAGGTTTAAGTTGATCGATTGCAAAACTGCAAACAAAACATGAAGAAATTGATGCCAGACGAAGGCAACATTAAAGAGATACTTATACCAGAAGCACAAAAATAAAAAAACGCTGGTGAAAGGAGGGCTAACAAACTACACACTACACTAATGATAAGGCGAGGCTACACAGAAGGAGACAGGTGCAGGTGGAGCCAGAAACAGGACACTGTAACATCACTGTAGATTAGGCCATGAAACATTTTGGTATTGGATAAAATATAAGATAAATAAAATGTAAGATCCATCTGTAGTTGTAGAAGGTCTGAGCCTATTGTAGATAGATAGATAGATAGATGGATGGATGGATGGATGGATAGACAGACAGACAGACAGATTGTACATAGAAAAATCACTTGTTTCAGTCAATTGTATGCAGTATACCTTGGGATCCTAGAGGGCCTGTCGTGAGAGGCCAACTGTTCTGCACAGCAGTTGCCAACATCAATTAAAATCGTGGTCGATTGGGCTTTTAACAATGAGTGACCATAGAAATGGAAAGTGCACTGTTAAAGGTAATTGTTGCACTGACTCAGTGTTTGATGGAGCACATTTGTCATCAGGACGCAGGCTAGAGTTACAGCGCACTGAAGCAAGACTGATTGTCTGTTCTGAGGCTTCTATTATAACTTCCTGTGTGAAATCCATTTAATGCTGTAGCCCTGGCAATAGATGAATATCCAATGACCAAGGTGCCAGGCACCCCCCTCCTATGCGCCTTAGTCATTGTAGCAGTGGGACTTACTTATGAAGAAGATTGAATTATGCTAGCTAGAAGTTTGCCTTTGACAGGCAGGCGCTTTCCTTAATATTTACAGGGATCCAAGTACAAGTTACAAAATGTCCTTCTCAGCAAAAAAAAATACAATGCTATAAGGACAGCAGATTCAGTTTCTGAAGCTTATAGTAATCTAATATTATTGTATACTACATGACAAGATTCTGATAAATGCAACATTGTGTATCACTTACAAATATACATAATAAATTAGCTAACATTATAAGACATGGTACCAATCTAATATCCAGTTTAGGAATCAGTCTGATAAAAGCAAGAAACTGGATGTCAGAGGAAAAAAGAATGAATGCCATCTGATTCTGTAACAAATGAGCTGCATGAGATGTCACAGAATTCTGATGTAGTATAAGTGGTGTAATACAAAATAAAGCAGGCCATGTGATTACGGTAGCCACATGTTGCCTAACATTAACATAAGAACATCGAGTTGCTGGCTATTAAGCAAAGCACTTGTGTTGGATTTGCTATTAAGTTAGTTTTGTGTTATACTAGATCAATTTAAGTTTCATATTAGTTGCTTTTATGTTGGCTATGTGGGAATAATTCACACTTTTAGATGGTCATCTTAATTTAATGCTTATTAGTTATTAAAAAAAAGCAATATTCAATTAATATTGACATCAGCCAGTAATCAAGGTTTCAGTATTTATACTGGTATCAGAAAAGAAAATGTGGTATTGTGCCACCTTCAAATATTATAGACTTTATATGGCTGGGATTTAAAGGCCTTTTATAATAGTTGCAGATAAAAGCACACAACATTTTTTTTAAGTACTGGCAGTTTACTTGCCAACAAAATACTGTAAATACGCAGTATTTTACTGAGATAGTATAGAAATTGTAAAACCATAGTAAACTAGACATACTGTATAAATGAAATTACACTAAATTATAGGTGTTGCTGTGAAGGTCAGTTCATTTGCCTATACTTTGTTGGACACAACTACAGGTGATGTTTACTTACAAGTATAAACTACCACAGTCAACCACTGCACTTACATTAGGGTCCGATATCCACTGACGTGTGAGGGCTACAGATATTGTAACTATAGCACTGCCATAAAAAACACTCTGATTCTGCCTCTTATATATAAACCATCAAAGCTGTACTAACCTACTTCATGGTTACTATCTGACTTTTCTGTTTTGTCCAATGCATTGAATTTTCACAGTGAAACTTCATTTCATGAAATCATGCAAATTTTGTGTCCCATAATTCATGGCAAAACATGAAAGAAATACCATAAATAAAGAAAACAGTATGTTTTTGCAAATTACTATACATTTACTGTAATATTTTACAGTATAGGCATGAATAAATATAAAAAATACAGGTAGTCTGAGCGTTGCCTCAGGAGTTCATAAGCCACTGGAATGTTATTTGACGTTTTTTCTGTTCAGAAGTATGAAATCACTTGCTTTCCTGCATATGTAGCATGCCTACCCATGCACTCCTCCAAAATGTCTTGGCTTTTTTTTCCAGATTTAAATGAATGTCATGACCAAATATCTTCAGCCATGCAATATTCAGATATGCACACAGAGAGGAATGTGCAAAGGAGGGTTTGCTGACGGTGGCGTGTCAGTCCAGGGCTGTTGTGAGACAGGGTGAATGGCTAATGCAGGGGGGATATAGGGGAGGTGTATGAGCACCATACAGTGAGAGAGAGAGGTGTAGGCGCGAGCTGCTGATGGTAGCACATCCCCTTGCTGCTGGCATCAGAGGTTTGCAAGGGCAGGGCTTTTTCCCCTGTCAGGGGGTCTGGAGAGACGGCTAAGCCGCCCGCTCTCTCACTCCTGCTGTGTGTGCGTATGTGTGTGTGTCTGACAGGGCCGACTGAGCAAAGACCAGCGGTGGGGCAGCGCACTCCTGTCCAGAAACCAGTCCCTTGAGGAGGAATTTGAGCGAGCCAAAGCAGCCGTGGAAGTAAGTGACAATTTCAAATACACAGTACAGACACAAGCAGTGAAGAATATCAATGCCTCTGAAACTATGCTCTGTTCACTATTTAATGTTGTATATCAAGTCATTTAGTACTGGTGAATGTAAACATTCAGTGAGCTCCTACAATCCCACAGTCAATCTCACGGCCAACCTGTCAACATTTAGTAGCTGTAATGCTTACATAATATTGCCCAAAAACTGAAAAATACTGAAAAAGTTTTAATTTCATTTTTATTATGTGATAAATTCTTCTACTTTATAGAATTTAGAAAATTAAACGAATTCCTGCATGAAAGCTAAACATCTTAGCTGTTTAGCTTGAGTCGTTGAAGAACACTTTGCTTTCATGTTTTTGGTGTAATGGGAGAAATAGGAAATGGCTGGGCTCCTCTTAAACTGCCTCTGCCACCCATTCCCGTACCAGTTTTAACATGCCCCTGTCACTTTTGCCTCGTTGTTTCCTCTCAGGGGAATCCCTGATGTCATCTTAAGGGCTGTTCTATTACTATATTAGCTCAAGTGAAAGGTGCCAAATGTGCCTTTGGAAGGACGAGGGATAGAGTGAACGCAAGTGTCGAATTTGGCAGTTGGACTTGCCAAGAAACCATTGCAACACACATTTTGCATTTCAAACACAAAATAATGGCAGACAAAGCTGTTAATAAGCCATAGCAGTAAACTACTTCAAAATGCTTAACATTCCAAAAGCATAACATTTGATTTGCTAGGCTTGTTATGGTTAAAACAAATTATGTATATTACATTTGACATCTCTTAGCTAGCTTGTTGTAAAAGCAGAGCTTCAAATTTAGTGTCATTTAGCATTTATGATAATTTATGTCAGCTCATGTACACATATACAATTCTTTCTCAGTTATGTAACACAGAACTTAAGATTAAACTAAGTGTTTTTAAACAGAAGAAGGAATCCTCTGAGCAGGGATGCTACAGAAGAGAATCTTCCAAAGAAAGCAAATTGAGTGAAAATGAGTGATGAAAAGCAGCATTTTGTCTAATGTTCTCATAAACACTATGGCAACGGCCAGAAAGCGCTGAGCAAAAAGCAAGCAAGCAGCCAGCTTTGCTGTCAACAGGCCGACAGTGGCCCACTGTCTTCTTGCTATCTAGGAATTGGCATGCTAAAAGCTAAATGGCTGACAACAAAAAAAGGCACTACACCACTACTTTACACCAATGTTTATAGCCAGATATAGTAATTATTATGTATGTTATGTATGTAATTATGTATGCACTGGTCAAACTTTGAAAGAGAGTGAGTGAGTGTGTTCAAATTGAAGAATCCTCCCTCGCCGTCTTCTCTTCCGCTGCTGCTACAAGTGGCCTTATGTAATGTAGGTGTGACACACATCTGAGCAGTGAGTCGAAGTGGCCAAGAGCATGTTTAAAAAAAAAGTACTGAAATGGAGCCCTGATGTAGCTTAGACACAATTTACCCATAATGCACTCTGTTGTTTGAAGATTCACAAGCAGCTTCTCTGAGGAGGACAGCAACTCAACATATCTAATGCTACTGTGGTAATGCCTCTCTGAGCAGAATGTGACCGTTAATGCAGAGTGGTGAGCAAACTCATGTAACGTTAGTGTCCGAAATCATTTTCCTGAAACATGGATTCTGTTTCCTATAATGGTGCTCCTTCTCCAACATAAGGAATAGTGATCAGGTGACCATTCTGAACTTGAGCCCATTCGATATAGAATTTTTCTGACCAACAGAGCTTGACCTTTTGTCCAAACCTGACTGCTCAATCTATTCTTCCTCTTGTCTTTTATTACCTCTAAACAATTTTAATCGGGCATGCTGGGGTCACACACTTGTAAGAAAATGGATGTGCGTTAGGGAAAGTTTTGTCAGGCATGGGTCAGGTTCACACTCTGAACCGTTCAGTTCACACTGAAAGCTCTACTGACCAATAATGATACAAATTTAGAGGAGCTAAAAATTATGATAACCGTGTAAAGATAGTTTGTGTTAAACCCTGTTATTCTAATGCTGAAGGTTACGTTCTAGATGTTTTTGTTGTTTTATCAGCAATGGTGTTCATGCTTAAATTGACCAGTTTAGGCTGTAATTAATGTTTTATCTGCAAGACATAAAAATTCTGCAAAAAAAAAAAATATGCAAATGAGGCTTCCATCAGAGTTTTTTTCAACTCTATACAAGAAAACTATGTCATTGCTGAGAAATATGGAATGAGTTTACAGAGGAATATTTAATATTGAGAAGCTTCTTCTTGCTGTTTTGTTGAATTTTATGACTATGCAGTGCAGAGACAGAAAACAATGTCAATATAACAGCTTAGGAAATATCCACTCACAAGCTGCAATCGCCTTGTGGCTGTTTACCATCTAAAGTTCTTCTTTTCAATGTGTCAAAATTGGCATGAATATATGTGGATGGAAACCAAGCTACCAATACTGACTGTGGTAATAACATCTCCCTCAGTGCACCCTTATTTCATATGTAGAATGTGGTGATAATTACCCCACCCTCACTGACAGAATAAGAGAGAAAACATGGACTAATCTAACCCCATAATAATACTTGGGTTTTCCACTGCAGAAAAGAGAGGTAAATAGGTCAGTAATTTCTGCCGCAGACTTGCAGGATCAGATGGCAGCAGGTATAGTAGTTACAGTAATCAGATAAGGCCTCATTCACCTGGAGACCATGCTGCTAAACACTAGCTGTTCAGCTCCAGTAATCATCATAACCATGTGCTGTTTCAGAAACAGTAATGAGGGAAATCTCATGCAGCTCTTAAAGGAAACCGTCTAGGTATCATTTCCTGGTGTTATGAACTAGAAAATCCATCTTTAGAGATGACTGCAAATGATCACTGAACAGTGGCAGTGCAGAGGGAACCACATATGTTCCAACTGGTTTTAGCGTTATGTCAATAACTGACAGATGTGAAATCGAAACTGCTGGAAGTTACCACAGCAGACACTCTTGCTACTTGTCTTGCTTGGATCTTTTCTGGTCCGGTCATTGTAAGACAGCCGTCAGCTATTGTATTACATGTGTTGTAGTTTCGAAGTACTGGAGGGCTACAAACATAGCTGACTTGTGAAAGCAGATGAATAATAGAGGAGACACAGGAAGGAGATGCAAAAGTGAGAGGAGTGCTTAGCAAGGAACGTTCCAGCCGGTATACTCGGATTATCTCGGGAATCTCTCCACAGTGCCCGCTGACGTCATGTCTGTGTGGTGCCCTCCAGGCAGGATTTGCTGAAGCAGAGTGGGAGGGGCACTGCCTCTGAGGGGGGCAGGCTTTCCGATAAGTAATATTACCCATGGGCACAAGGGAGCAAATGGAGGATTGATTGATTACTCCATCCTGCATTCTGAAGCTCGTACCTTTAGATATCTCACTCCTCCTTTAGGCATTCTGGGCAGCCTCCTATCTGCATACATTTGTCCTAATTAAGAACGTGGTGCAGAGTGTGCTTGTCTAGAAGGCTACTTCCGTGGCAGGCCGGCTAGTTTCCAATCCATTTCATTTGTGTAATTGTGGGCTGTCCGGAACGAAGAAATAGCTCAGGCACTAAAACGGAGCGGTGGTGAAGCTTCAGGCTGTCCAGCATATCAGAGCTTGAGAAAGAGTAAGTTCTGATTAACCCTTTAATGCCAAGGCAAAAAAGCAGATATTCCTGCTTTTCAGTTGGCTTTTTTCCTCTAATAACCTACTGCTTCTCAAAGCTGTTGTCACATTTACAGTCATATGCAGACATTTACACGGTTTGTTGATTTTCTAAGTAAAATAAGTGCACATCCACTACAGAGAACACACCTCTGCACAATTACTGTATATGTGCTAAAGTTTTCATACTGGAAAGCAGTAAAACATAAAATATGACCTGTGCAAATGTTATGGTACGTTGTATTTTGTTTTATTTTTTTCCAATGTCAGCAAATCGATAGAAATTGTGCTCTAAAATTTGCAGAAATGTGTAATATTTAAGTTAGAGAATGTGTTAACTTAATTTCACCACAAAACATGTAATTTGACCAGGGGTATTCAAACATTTGCATATGACTGTATTGTAATGTCTGAAGAACATGATCTAACAAAATAATTGGTCATTTTTAGTTACCACTTTGATCAAAAAAAAGAAATGGATGTGAATATACTAGGGAATCTACACACTTCAGTGGCTTTGTGTCATCATATTAATGAAAAAATCAATAATAAGCCTTTAGTGAACAGAATTCCATGTACATGCAGAAACTATCATGGTGCATACAGTAATAAAGGCAGCATTGCGCTTCTTTTGTGCAGTGATAGAAAACATGAGAGCGCACAAAAATCTCCAGTTCCACTGACTATGAGAACTAGCCATACTACTCTGTGGGCACATTTTGAAGTTTCTACATTTATCTTAGAAGTATTCTACATTTTTATATTAGTATGATGGGGTTAAGATGCATTTCCTTGCATGCAAATTCTGAAGCCCAAAAATATTAAAGCTGTGTGAAACTGCAGCGGCCTGTGAAATGTTCTAGTCGTGCTTAAATTGAGCGGACCCCGGAAAATAGATCACAGAGGGAGAGCTCTGACTACCCAGGCACTTTTGGGACGTACAAAAGCCAATGTGCAAATTAAGGCATGCTGCTCTCATTAGGAACAGGTAGTAGCAGCAGGAGGTGAAAAGCAGGTTAACACTGAAGTGGACTGTTTTGCTCAGAGGCAGTGGTAACATTAACGAAGCACAGACTATGCAAGATTAAACTGACCATGCAGTTCCCCTTGAACATACCAGAAAACCAGTTTCGATGTGTTTTGATTTGCTTACAGTTGTTACAGTTGGGCAACCCTGGACAAATTACATATTTTATTGATTTTTTAAGTGAAAAGAAGTAAATACAATAAAAATAATGTTAAAAATAACGTTTTCTGCAGATGTTAATGCACAGTTACTTTTTATTTGATGAACATAAAAACTTTTTTTCTACTTAATTA